TTTTTTTTTTCTTCTTTTTTTGCTCTTAATCAGTTTTAGGCTTTTGTATAGTATCAGTAACGCACTTTTTTATTTCCTATCATCTGACAATCTGTACAAATGACAAATACATCCTATATATATATATATATATATATATATATATATATATATACGTATATATATATATATATATATATATATATATATATATATAATCCAATTTTTTTTAATCTAGAAAAATTTAACCTAGTAAGCTGTTAAGATATTCAATTCTGTTGATTGCTGTATTGCTGGAAACGAAACTGATGAGACCTGTTGCAACGTTTTTGTAACAAAAAAAGGTGCATTTACAGTGTTTTTCAAGAGGTTTATCATTGGGAACAGTTTTGTAGCAACAGAAGTCAAGCCTAACTGGCCACTACTGTAAATGAGTATATGTTTAAGTGTAAGAAAAAGAAAGGATAGCAGTGATAAAATTCATAGGTTTTTGTTTGATTCATCAATGGGAGTTATTGTTGTTGAAAGCAGTATTTATGTATCTGTCTGTCTACGTAATTTTTTTAATGCATAGCATTGTTGAATGCAAGATAAAAAAGTGAAAGGATAAAAGTACTATAACCTATTTAACAATAAATTTTTATAGAGAAAAAAATTTTTATTTATTTTTTTTATTTTTTGCATTATTAGAACTCCTTTTTTCATCCTATACTGACTTTCTACTTCATCCAGCCAACCTCGTCTTCTTTCCTTTCCCACCGTCTCCTCACCTTCAAATTCAAAACAGAAATCAACAATTTCGAATGACACAAAAATTTTTTTTTTTAAAGATATGGAAAGGCAATTTTTAGTAAATTTACTTCTACTCAATCTCAATGGTTTCTTTATTTGCTTTTCACTTTTTCTTTTTTCTTGTTTTTGTTACTTTTTTTGTTCATTTTCATTTGTTACTTTTCAAGTTGCAGTTCACAGTTAACAATGAAAAAGCGCCTAAGCATAACAGAACCTCTTTTTTTTCTCCTTCTTTCAGGTCTTATTAATTTGATTGCTAATTGTCAGTTTTTTCTAGCCTAAGGTCCAACTAGCATTGTACGTACTACAACAGGAACTGAAAAGGAGGAGATCAAAGGAGGGACTAAGAATGACGAGGTGGAGGAGGTATGGAGATAGAATTTTTTTGTTTAAATTGTTTTGTTGGAAATTATTGTTTGAGGACATTGATGAAATATTT